GACCTGATATTAACTCAAGATATTATCAAATATGTGTTCTAAGAAAGCAATAAACGAGGTATTGCTTCGGATTAGGACTGGGCGTATCAGCCCGAAAAAATTTATCAATGATATAATGTTTCATATCGTTCGGTATCGATAATTATTTAAATTTTTTATAACCTTTTTTAATGCAATAGAATTTTTTTTTAAATGTAACCACTATATTTTTAAATTAACCCAATTTGAGACAAACAACAAATATTTTTTTGTTTTAACAGTCAAATACACAATAAAAATGTAACATCTAATTTCTAATGTTTTATGTGCAGATTAAATGGGTCTTAAGGAAACTTTTGGCTTGTCTCCCAAGGACACAGGAGGGCGCAATGAGCAAAATAATGCAGCACATTTAAATTCAAATTCAACGCAAGGAAATAAATGTCTAACTTAACGTACTAAACATGAGTGGAATTTGCACCGCAGCGTCCCCACACCTTGATGCTCATGACAAGAATAGCATGTATAGTTATCTTTATTGAAGTGAATTAGGTATAAATTGCCATCATGCATGAATGAATGTTATTTTTGCAGTTTTACACATAATAATCCACGATGATCACATTACACAAAACTGAAATTGCACGTCAAAATAACACATTGTCTATTTTTTGAGACCCCCCAAAATTTCACAAATCACGTTTTCAGGGGAGCCCATGTCTTATTAAGGGGAGCCGAGCTCCCACTAGCTCCCCCGTAGTTCGCACCCTGCTCCCTTATCTAACACACCTGAGACATACAAAATGTGCAGTGCTGGGGGTACTTCATGGAGAGGTTTGAGAACCACTGGGCTAGACTAACAAAACATTAAAATGCAACAACGTCACTTTCATCATTATCACCGCATCTCGTGCGCCACGGATGATGCTCCCTGACGCACTCCTAACATTCAAATGCAAATGTTCATTTTAAACTCAACTAATATAAATTTTTTTTATTCACAATCTCCTCACCACAGGCAGGCACTGTACTCAATTCAGCATGTGTTCGTGTTTGTGTGTGCTTTCTGCGTCACTCATAGCACGTGCACTATATTGTTTATATCGTTATCAAAGAAGGTGTACCGTCGATAAATATCAATACCGTTTTATCGGCCAGGCCTACTTTGGATGCACTGAAATATCATTTAAAAATTTCACAAAATTCCATGTTTGTTTGTGTGTATGAGATATTTTACAAGCTTATCAATCATGGCTCAATCGAATCGCTTTTTAGAGCTGGAACTATTGGGTTTTATCTCCTTTTGTTTGGAATATTTTGAAACATTTTCAGAATGTTGTTTTGTGACTTGTAAGTCTTCGAACTATTCTGATGAATAAAATGGAGCTAAAGCTAATTCAGTATGGCACATTATTATAACTCAGTATATGCATCAACAGGGTCAAAAAGTCAAAAATGATGCTCCTCGGCTCAATTTGCGGTTTAACAATCTTTAAACAGAGGTGTGCAGTAAGTGGGAGTGAATTATGATGTCCTTTGCTTGTAGTGTGAGTACGCTATAGTCATTATCTCTGTAGTCATCATGTGGATTTGCCCTTGAGGGGGAGACCTAATCTCATTAAACTTTTATCAATCTGTCTACATTAACATTCTATAAACTGTAATAAAGCATTGTAATTGTTTAATATTGGAATGTCCTTGTGCTCTATTGCAGTTTTAGTAGCTGTGATTCTGTAGTGAGATCGTTAAAGATGAGAACACTCTGTGGCTATTTGGATGTACAGATAGCTTTTAAGTTTTCAGTTTTAGATAAACTGGGTTTAGGCCACTGTTTTAGGGTTTGGTTGTGAATAAATGTCTACTAGGGCTGCACGATTATGACAAAAATCATAATTGTCGATTATTCCTTTGAAATTGTAATTGTGATTTATTAATTGTGATTAAATGAATGATGTTTACACCTTTGTTTGAAGCAACTGCATGCCGTATTTTTATATGAAAATTAACAAACTGAAAAACTTTTATTGCTTTTCTATAGTATTAAGCCTCAAATGTCAACTATATATTGGATTGGTTTCTTCTTTAAATAAAAAGGTAAAAATATGCATGGTATTATAATGTTATACTAAAATTAAAACAATGGAAAAACCCTTAAGATAACATGTAGAAAGAAAAATACCACAAGGCACATACCTTGTTTTCTTTCAACTATGCATGAGAATCAATAGACTTTTTGTGCATCTAAAGTAAGAAGGAAAGAGAAATCAAATTATTATAGTGATGGCTTAGCAATCAGGAATTGATTGCTATTTTGTGCCTATATATATATATATATATATATATATATATATATATATATATATATATATATATATATATAGTATCTCACACAAGA